ACTTTGGCCCAATCACCAGGAGACGGTGAGTTCTAGTCCCATCTTAGGCATGGCTGACAGCCCCTTTCTCTCAGCCCGACCCACCCTACAGGGTTGTCGTTGTGGGGAAAATAGGAACAGGAAGGAGACGTAAGTATATTCACCCTCTTGAGTTACTTGTAGAGACAGGATACAAAAAAATCTTAATACATAATAAATGCAAGTCTGGATTAATACCGTGATCTCTTTTGGGCGCCTTACCTGCCTTTCCTAGGTTTTACTCTGCTTGGGAAGTTTCTAGTCCTCAGTGATGACTCCTTTGAGCTTCAGAGGGGAAAGGCAGGGTAAAAATGGGGGAAAAAGGTGGTGAAAATAAGGATGTGTGTAGCTTTAAACTGTTTCCTGGGAGTGTTTTTAAGAAGTTTCTTAAAGGGAATGGCAGTCTTTATTGCCATGTTTCTCAACCAGGGCAGTTTGAAGAGAGGTGGACTTCAACTCCCAGAATTCCACAGGCCAGCCAGCTAGGCTGGCTGGCTGAGGAATTCTGGGAGTTGAAGTCCGCTCGTCTTCAAACGGTCGAAGTTGAGAAGCACTGCCTGATTGGCTGAACTGGTTTCTGGAATGTGTAAAAGAGGGGTCTTCAAACTTGGCCCTTTTTATGACTTGTGGACTTCAACTCCCAGAATCCCTCAGCCAGCGTGCCTGGCTGAGGAATTCTGGGAGTTGAAGTCCACAAGTCATCAAAGGGCCAAGTTGGAAAGACCCCTGGTGTAAAATATATAATGCCAGTTTGTGTGTCTAAATGCGGAGGCGGACCGGGGTTTTCTAACTCGGTACTTAACTGTCGCCCTCAACTATCCTGCCAGTGGTCTGGCTGGGGATACTGGGGGCTGTAGTCCACACTTTTGGAAGGGGAAAATGTTGGCCTAGAGTGTATTTTCTCCTTCAGTGCAGGAGGCCAATTCGGTCGGCACATGTACCTGGCCTCAGAGGTCCAGGAGGCCATCAGCAAAAGTATTTCTGCAGGGCTGACCTGCAAGCCTCTGATCCTGCCTGAGCAGGGGGTTGGACTAGATGACCTCCAAGGTCCCTTCCAAATCACATCATCATCATCATCTTCTTCTTCTTCTTCTTCTTCTTCTTCTTCTTCTTCTTCTTCTTCTTCTTCTTCTTCTTCTTCTTCTT